AAAAAAAAAAAAAACCTCAAAGAAGATGTGACTAATTGAAGTTTGGAAAACACTGACCTGGTGCATTCTATCATCCTTTGAAGTGAAAAGATAAAGGGCTTCCAGAGGGGGCAGGACCCCGAATATCTTTGAATGGTGCCTTCTTTTTTTAGCCAACTAATATTGGATTAAAGAGGCATCAGTGCAAACCCAGGGCCTTTATCTTTTCAGAAGCCTTTTGATGCTTTCTTTCCTCAGGAGCTTCTTTCAAGTTCTTACTCGTAGGGCTCCCAGGTAGCACAAAACTAACAGAACAGGTCTATAGAAACCCATGGCTGCAGGTCCCATCATACATTTCAGCCCTCTGAATAGAGTAAATCAGAAGACAGCACTTCACTTCGTAAGACAGAGCCAGAGAACAGGGCAAAACAGTGTGGAAAATAGTGCTGCTGTGTAAATTTGTGTTTCTGGCAGTGGTGATGGCAGGGGTTAGATAAGGGCGCTGGCCATCAGCAACATCTGCATACTATTTATTATGACATGTCCTCATTATATCACTGACCATTGAGTGCTTGTCATTTATCCGGCCATAGGAATAGGCATTTCAATGAATGTCGTTTTGCTCAGTTCACACAACGATCGTATGGAATTAGATTCCATCACTTGCATTTTGAAGATCAGGACACTGAATCCAAAGGGAGCTCCTCAAGATCAGGCAGCTTAGCAAAGGCATAATTCGAATCATCTGTCTGATTCCAGGATCTGTGCTCTTAAGAACTTGGCCATTCTGTCAGGGCTGCCGCTCAATGGGGGCACAAGTAGAAATTTTTCCTGCCTGGCCCAGGATTCAGCAACTTGCCAAGCTAAATCTTAAACAAAAGCTATGCTACTTCCCTTCCAGCACCATCCCCACCACCTCCTTCACAGAGAAAGAGCTCCTGCCCCTCCCCCAACCCCAGGCCAAAGCCAATTACCCAAAGAGAGCTTCTTCTTCCTAAGGAGGAGCCCAGTGAGACCCACCCCTCACATTACATCCCTGGAGAAAGGTCTAGGGAGTGATCAGAGCATCACCCTTTACTCCAAGAAAGAGGAGATCACAACGTTCTGGACTCATCAACACATGCCCAGACTTCCAAGAGAGGATGTTCCCACTTCTCCTGCCCACTGGCCCTTACTTGGCATCTTTGGCATTCCCTCCCATCCCAATGGGCATCTCCCAGAGCCCAGATCTTGCACGTGCAGATCCCTCTACCTGGGACCACTTTCTCCCAGGAACTCACATCGCTTTCTCCCTCCCCTCCTCCAGGTCTCTACCAAATGTCACTTCTGGTGAGGCCTTTCCCAACCATTGCCTGTCATTTTGCAGACTCCTTTCCTGCTCATGTCCACCCGGAACTGCATGTGCTCATTGACTGTCTCTCACAGAGCAAGGATTTTGAGTTGTTTCTTACTGTAGCTACAAATAGTATATTGAAGGCACTAAATGAATAAATGAATGAATGCAGAAAGGAATGAATGAATGAATCAGAGAAAAAGTCAGCTGTGGTATAAGGCAAAAGGAAATAGAAATGGAAGTAAGCTGGGAATCTGCAGAGCCAACCCTGAGTCCCAGCTCTGCAGCCTCCATCACATGCCTAGCACTATTCTATGTGCCAGTGTGAACAAAACAGACAAAACTTCATGCCATATTGGAACTTACTTTCTAATGGCAAGAGACAGATGGTAGGAAAAGTTAATTAATTAAATATATAGTATTTTAGGTGGTATTAAGCCCTGTGAAGAAAAATAAAGCGGGGAGGGAGAATAAAGAATACTAGTGGGAGGAAGCAGTGTGCAGTTTTAAACAGAGAAGTCCCAGAAAGCTTCCTGGGAAAGGTGGCCTTTGAGCAGTGATCTGGGGAGGCAGCCAGAGGAGAGCGCTTCCCCAGAGTGCTGCCTGGGGTGTGTGAAGAATAGCAAGGGGATGATGGGGACAGAACTCAAACATTAGGTCAGGTTGTGATGGGAGTGGGGGGTGGCTTGTAGGTCACTGTAAGGACTTCTGCTTTGGGATTCAAAAGGGAAGATTGGAGAATAAAATGGAGGTCACACGTGACCTAGAGAAAAGTCACAGAGAGGACTGGATTCCAGTCCAGAAGGGATCACCCTCCTTAACTCAGAGAACACCAAAAAACCAAATTCTCTTCTTCCTCAGCAATCTCTCCCAACAGCCCTTTCCCCAAAGATGTGTCCTGGTAGTGATATGACATCCCCCCTGCTTCAAGTAAACTTATTTTCTCCTGAGTCTAACCCTTAAAAACATTCTAATAATTACCTTGAGGCTTCCTAGTTTACAGAGTGCTTTATGTAGACCCTTTCACTTAATCTTTCAACCTGCTAATACAGAAGATATTATCTGCATTTTATAAAGGAGACAGATAAAGCTCAGTAAGCTTAAAGAACTTGGCCAAGATTATACACTTGGTGGGGGACAGAGTCTTCTAATATCTTTCTACTTCAAGCGAGAACCACCCTCATGTTAGTGATTCTCAAAGTATGATTTGTAGACCTTTATGGGATATAAGCTGACCTAAAAATGCATCTTCCCTCTTTGGTTTTTATGAGCAACATACAGGCAATCTCATAGACTCTGATTCTCACATACGATAGGAGCTAATGTAAGTGTCTTCTAAGTGTGAATGTGTCATTAAAGCTTGCTGCAATTTAGTATTCATGAATAGTTTATTAAAATGAGCTGAAGAATCGAATTCTATTTTGTACTAAGAAGTCTGGCTGTTGCACGATTCTTGGCAATGATGAAAAGCTCTTGGATATGAAGTGGAATTCCCCTAAAAGGCTAGAATAAGTGCTGCATATAACCCCCTAGGTCTTTGCCCCACCTAAATGTAGCCCAAAGTTTAGGAACCACTACTCTATAACCAATCGAATAATATCACCTCCTAGAGATTTTTCCACCTCTCTTTAACCCTAATCAAACCAAAATATCCATTCTAGTCTATATTTATCCCCTCTCCTTTGGAGCACAAATTCTGTCAAATTGTGACATGGGCAAAAGCTTGGATTTCTATTTGACATTGGAGTCATCTCCTGCTCCATCCTGAAGAATAGCCTCCAAAACTGAAGATAAGAGTTTAGAACAGCGAGGGCAGAAAATCCATCCAACAGCTACCACCTGATTTGGCAACTGGGG